TTTATTTGAACTCCTAACCCCCCCGATGACCCAAAACCCAAATCGCACCAGGCCACGAACAGAGTCCAGGAGGGGCCGGACCTGTTTCAGCTTAAGCTCTGCCCGCCGGTTTCCTGTCGGCCGGCCCGTGCCAGCCCGGCGTGCGTCAGACGCCGGTGAGTAAAGTCCCGGCCTTGTGCACCTGCGCCAGGTCCCCCTCGTCACCCGACGTCCAGAGCAGGAAACCCCCCCCCCCCCCCGACGGCCTCTGGGACTGAAAGAGGAGTCAACATTTAACCAGGGAGGAATTGTTCCATTAGCCGCTTTTAGAAAGTGGCTATAATTACTCATTTTAGCATAGCATGCTGTCACATGATCTATGTAAATTACTGACTGTCTTATTCCTTTTAGAACTATATTTTTGTGTTAAAAGTCTTTGGCTCTGTCCACTGACTCTCTCTTCTCTCTTTTCTTTTCTTTCTTTTTCTTTCTCTGTTGCATTAGATCCACCTTTAGGTCAACACACACACACACACCATTTGTTACCACATTCCTGTCATCTGCATGAATTAGGACCTGGCCTGTTTATGCCCAGAGGTAACTGGCCAATAGGATTCAGTTATGTCCAGTCCTCCTGTTAGAATTTGGCTATAACTACTCACTTTAGCATTGTATGCTATCACATGATCTATGTAAATCACTGATTGTTTTATTTCCTTATGGAACTATAGTTTGTGTTGTTTTATTTTATTTTATAACTATATTTTGTGTTAAAGTCTCTGGTTGTGTCCACAGACTCTATTTATCTCTCTCTGTTGCATTAGAGCCACCTTTAGGTCAACACACACAAACACACACCATTTGTTAGCACATTTCTTGTCATCTGCATGAATTAGGACCTGGCCTGTACCTTAACGAGCGACAAAAAAGTTACGATTTGGGGCTTTTGTTAGAATTTGGCTATAATTACTCACTTTAGAATTGTATGCTATCACATGATTTATGTAAATTACTGATTGTCTTATTCCTTTTAGAACTATAGTTTTGTGTCTGATTCCCTGGATGTAACCACAGATTCAGACACACGTCATTAGGTCAACACAAACACACACCATTTGTTAGCACATTTCTTGTCATCTGCATGAATTAGGACCTGGCCTGTTCATGCCCAGAGGTAACTGGCCAATAGGACTTGGTTGTGTCCAGTCCTCCTTTGAGGAGGCGGATGGAGCCCAGGAGATAATGCCCATCACCCAGATCTCAGGGCTCTTTGCCCACTGAGACCCAGAGAGAGCTTTTTGTCTGTCAGAGCCCAGCTGATACACTTAACTGTGACCTAATAAATGTCATTTTTACACTTGTGATCTACTCTGGTTTATTATTAGGTTTCCAACTAAAGAACCACCAATCTGGGGGTATTTTTAGAAAACATGCCAGAGGAAATCCCCACCGCGTGAACCCATTACTCAGTCTTCAATGAACACATTCATCCCCTGATTTTTTTTCTTCCCCCTGGTAAACTCAGACTTAATTAACTCTTATCAGCAGGTCTATAAGTGACCACAGGCCCAACCAGTTAAGTTGCTAAATTTCCTGGGTATTTCCAACAGAGGACAATCAGACCTGTGGTGTGTACTGCCCCCTGCTGGTCATCGACCGAGATGGGCTCAGAGAACAGGAACAAGGCACCGAGGTATTGGTGTTCTCCATCATCTTACTGGGATTTAAACTAATGACACAATAATATAAGATGCCATCAGCAGGAATTTAAAATCCTTTATTTATATTTTGTGTCCAAGCCAACAGTTTTTCTTGTAATATTTTTGTGGCTGTTGTTCTCCAGGCTTTCATCACAAAAAATCATACATTTCTAGTCCAGGTCTTTTAACTACTGTCTACAGTATTATATCTACGTACATAAAACTTATCAAAGCAATAGTCTATTTTCAACATAATCTATCTGCTTAGTCATTTACTTACAGCAACAAAAGTGTAAAAAGAGTAACTTTTCCATAGGAAAACAAGTAATGTATAAGATCTGTTTGCTGAAAACTTGGAATTGAATTGTAAAGCTGCGCATGCCTTTTTTAAAAACTATTAAAATCATCCCAAATGACTAATCTCAGGTTGTTGGTAGGATAGAGTTTGAATGGTTTGGTTTGATCTGTTTAATGTATTTGGTCATTTATTAAGATATGTGTCCTTAGACTCCTTCCTCAGTGCAATTGCTATTACTATTTTGTGAATAACTCAGTATTTAAATGTCAGTAACAGCAATTTTGAATTTGGTCAAATATTTTTTAAAGTTTGAATCAATCAGTTTAGTTGGTTTTAAATTTGTTTAGCTGTTTTCGTTTTTTCGACAATAAGCGTCTATTTTTAAGGTACTTTACATTTCCAGGAGTACACTTTTACCTGACACCCCCCAAAGGAAACGTAAACAAAATCAAATGACAGTTGAATCGAAAACTGATTTTGCGACCTTTGCGACTGTGCAGTCAATGGCGCACGAATCGAGATACGACAGAGAGAAGAAGATGGCGGAGGGAGCTAATGATGCAGAGCTACTCAAGGAGAAGGCAAATAAGTACTTCAAAGGTAATTTACTGCGCTTGACAAGTCATTGGCCCTTTTCAGCAACTTGAAACGTATAAATGGGCTGTTTGTGTCCGGGATTTGAGGGCCGTAAACCTCCACTTTAGCCGCTATCGGGTATTACGCAAAGCTAGCGCTGCTAGCAGAGCATGCTAACGGCTAACTCCATTCATTCGGACCGGCGGCGGTTAGCCGCTTCTAGCTAGCTAGCGACGTAGCCGCCGACCGTTGACACGCGTGTTCAGTCCCACACGCCTTCGGATAGCTTCCGTTGAGCTCTTTCTAAGGGTCGATGTTTTCGTCCCTCTGGCGTGTTGGACGGTAGCTGGTGAACTCAAATAAAAGCGTGGATATGGGGTTATTTTGGGCTGTTTCGGGAGGATGGTGCTCAGCTCCCAGAATGTTCTGTTAGCCGTAGCCGGCGGATGTTTTTGGTGCAGCAGACATGGAAACTTAGATCTCCACATGAGAACATAATCGCTCCTCTAGTACAAAATATGTCTATCTTTTCTAACTTAAAGGTTTCTGCCTCTTATTACATTGCTATTCTAAAAGGAAAAGTCTTAATGCCAGATTTTTAACGACCGGCAGAGACAAGAGGAAGTAAGCCTCTGTAATCTGATATAATCAATATGATTCAGCAAACAGTTCTTCAATAAATCACCAGATATTCTTCCGTCATGTCTTATATTCTATTGAGTTGATAATGCATTTTATGATTATGTTAATTTAATTTAAGCTTTTATTCTTCCCAATATGTATCCATTAAAGAAGAGTTTATTTAAGATAAAGGTTAATTTGTATAGTTACTTCCTCTAATCTCTCCCCTCAAATTTGCCTCCTCAGTGACTTTACAGAAACGTCTTTCAATATTTTCTATATTTTCAGTTTTGGATCGTTCTTTAAACTCTTCTGTCGCCAGAATAAAATCCAGTTGCCGTTATAAATGCAAGAAAATCAGGTGTAACGATGATTCATGAGTGTGTACTCCACAAGTCTGGACTGAAACTAAGAGGAATAATGTGGGATGTAGTCGCCATGTGACCATGCGAGCAAACGCAGAGCTTTTAGCATTTACGTGATCATAAAGGTTCCTCGTGGGACTTCTGATAAGTCAGTCACACCCTCATAAAAGGTTGTACGGGGAGTAGGAGGTTTCTAAGAGCTGTGGTCTGGGCTGGGTTTGGTGGCATAAGCTGTGTGGGCAGAGCCTCAGATCACTAAACCTTTAACCACTCGCGGGAAAGTGGCTGCGTCCGAGGGGTGGAAGCCCATCTGCTGCTGGTCCGGCCCCCCCAGCCGGACAGGGAGTTGATAACAGGAGCTGAAGGGTCCTCACACATCAGCCTTCGTCCAGGCTGAGTCCACGATGCAGAGTGGATGACTCTGAGCTCAAATGAGGCCGAGCCGGGCTTCCCCTTTTTCTTTTAACTCACATGGATAAGCAGCATCTTTTTCATTCTGGCTTTCACAGCGGACTCATACCTAGCCGGTGGGGAAGTCCTCGGATTTGATTAGCAAAGTGGATTGGGCGTTTTTTTGGGTGGGGAAAGAGCTGAAATGGGCACTACATTTCCAGCAGATGTTCCGTCTAATGCAGTCCAGATGTGGCCCCTGAAAACCGTAGTGTAAATCGTTATTTCGGTTCCAGTTAGGGCCAGATGTGTCTGAAGGGGTTTTGAAAACCAGACCAGGGTTTATCTGGACTGGACCTAAAACGGGCTTCAGTGCCAGTCCTGAGAAGGATGGCTTTTCCTCTTTCTCCAGAACTCCCTTTGTGTGAAGGCATGTGAGTTTCTGAGGCTAAAGCGAGTCATTAGTTAGCACGTTGCTGGGTTTCTTCTAAAAATGTCATGAACAAAGCAATCTATCCAGGGCCGAGTTCGTCTTGGGTAAAGGTGGAGAAACTCTGTTTAACCTGTGACACCGCCACTTATCTTTCAGACAAAGACTACGAAAATGCCATCAAGTACTACACAGAGGCCCTGGAGCTCAACCCCTCCAATGCCATCTACTACAGCAACCGCAGCCTGGCCTACCTGCGCACAGAGTGCTACGGCTACGCCCTGGCGGACGCCACCAAGGCCCTGGACATAGACAAGAACTACATCAAGGGGTATTACCGGCGGGCCACCTCCAACATGGCGCTGGGCAAGTTCAAAGCCGCGCTCAAAGACTACGAAACGGTGAGAAGCATCGCACACCACAGCCTTTCTTTAAGGCGTAGACCAGAATAGGGATGTCCCATTCCAGCTTTTTGCACTTCTGATCCGATACTGATATTGTATTTGCACTGGGCTGGTCCTGATGCGATATCTGTATCGGATCGGCCAATAAATCCCTGTCTGACAACTAAGTAAGAAGATAAATAACTTTATAACACATGCTCTGATAGGCCGGGATCAGGATCGGATCGGAAAAGAAAAAAGCTGGATCCGGACATCCCTAATTTGTACTTCCGATCCGATACCTATACCAGCCTATCAGAGATTTACTCTTATAACAACTTAATGGTTAGGACACAGACCTGTGGGTTAGGAGATGCTAATGCTAATGCTCATGTGGGATCGGACTCTAAAAAAAAAAACTGGATCTGGAGTCTGGATCTGCATTTTCTCCTGCCGGCCGATACGCAGTTTTTTTGCAAATATCAGCGGCCGATCCAATCCAGATATGGGATCGGGACCAGCCTGGACCACAATCTGTCACCTCAGGCTGGACTCTTCCTGCCGCCTTAATACTCCAGAGTAGGGATTATCCAGTAATCTGGGCAGGGTGGCAGCTGGACCCCGCGGGGGCCCGTGGTGTGGCCCTCAGTGGGAGCAGAGAACTCCACACGCTGAACCTTATTAGTTCCATCCACCTGAAACCAAAAAGAGGCATCTTACATTTATGTTTATGTTTCTGCATTTGGCAGATGCTTTTATCCAAAGCGACTTTCAGAGTAGACACAATATTACATTTCTCATCTCATGACAATAAGCTATCCAGAGGAGAAACCCTGATCGGAGTCAGTGGTGAGATAGAGATAGAGGTAGAGGGGACTACAGAAGGAGCTGTGGGGGGCTAGAGGTACGGGTTAGGGTTAGGATTCCCGCTCACGTCCCCCCTCTGACGGCAGGTTGTGCGGGTGCGGCCCAACGACAAGGACGCGCGGATGAAGTATCAGGAATGCAACAAGATCGTCAAGCAGAAGGCCTTCGAGAGAGCCATCGCCAGCGACGAGATCAAGAAGTCTGTCGTCGACTCGCTGGACATCGAAAGCATGAGTAAGTGTCCCCAGTAGGGCTGTCAAAAGTATCCATACTCCAAAAAGTATAGATACTAAAACGTTGTATCCGGATACGATACTCATGCCGACGCTGCCCCCCTTCTCTCTGATTGATTTATTTATTTCCGTTGTTTATGATCAGTAACGTGACGTTAGCCTTGAATTGCTAGCTGCGGCTCATAAACAACGTAAATAAATAAACAAATCAGAGAGAAGGGGTGCAGCAACTTTTGAAAATGAGTATCGGATCCGGATACAACATTTTATTATCGCTACTTTTTTTAGTAACAATATTTTTGACAACCTTAGTTTGTCCGATCATGTCCGATCCCGACCCAGCGTTCCATTTTCTGCCTCAGCCGGATGCTTTACAGCCTCTTTTGTCCAAACTCCAAGGGTCGAAGGTCGGCGCCTCCTGAGCCGACCAAGACCCGGACCACACGCCTCTGTCGGCCTTTTTTAAACGCACACGCAGCACAAACACACGCCGCTGCCAGACCTGAGCTTTTGTTGGTAAAACCGTGGCCCCGGTGTTGTGTATTTTTGTCTCTTTTGTCTTTTACACAGCAGCAACTGCTGTGATTCAACAGGTTTGTATAGAGAAAAATTAAGTTTCCTGCTTTCTGACGCACACTCCGACCACCAGGTGGCGACAGTGAGGCTCAGAGGTTTCAGAGTCAGAAATACTTTAATAATCCCAGGGATTTCATTCCCTTCCTGCTCTAAAGCGCGGGCCTTGCTAACTGAGATGCTAACAGATAAAAAGATAAGCTCTTTTCCAGATAAATAGGAGCTTTTTACCCAAAAACAGTCAGCTGATCACAGAAAACGTTTAACACGGGACACGATTCAAAATGGGATCAGTCACAACGAATGGCTCACAAAGCTTCCGGCTATTTAGAGCTCTGTTTTGTCCTGCCAGAAATAAGAGCATCTCTAACAAAAGTGAGCTTCTTTTAGAAGAAAACAGCCGGTGGGACTCCAGTTTTTGTCGAATCCTCTTAGTTAAAAGGAAAGAGAGGAGGAATTTGGTCTGCTTGGGGGCAAGCCATAGAAAAAAGCTGAGATTAGCTAAAGCAAAGGGGTGACTTTTTTCTTCGGAGGGTATTTTTAAAGGGTTGTTTTTTGTTGCAGCCATTGAGGACGACTACGTGGGCCCAAAGCTGGAGGAGGGAAAGGTCACGCAGCAGTTCATGACAGAGATGATGGACTGGTTCAAGGAGCAGAAGAAACTGCACAGAAAGTGCGCCTATCAGGTGTGTGAGTCTGTGTGTGAGTCTGTGTGTACAAACCAGGGACGTCCCGATCCGATCCCGGCCTATCAGAGCATGTGTTAAAGTTTAAAGTTATTTATCTACTTACTTAGTTGTCAGACTCATGTTGAACAGGGATTTACTCTGATAACAACTTAATGGTTAGGACACAGACCTGTGGGTTACAGATGCTAATGCTAATGCTCGTGTGGATTGGCCGGTACGCATTTTTTGGCAAATATCGGCATCCGATCGGATCCAGATATCGGATCGGGACCAGCCTAGCTCAGACTTATCCCTCTGGGGATTCCTCCACACGTAATTAATGTAATTAATGTAATTAATTTAATTAATCTGTTATTATCGTCCCCAGATTTTGATACAAGTCAAAGACGTCCTGTCAAAACTACCGAGTCTTGTGGAAGTCACACTGAAAGAGGTGAGAGCTGCCCCCTGGCCGTGCCCCCCCCCCCCCCCCCCTCCTGAGCCCTCCCGCTGAGCTTTCTTCTGCTCTTTCTTCTTCTCAGACAGAGAAAATCACCATCTGTGGAGACACGCACGGCCAGTATTACGACCTCCTGAACATCTTCGCTCTGAACGGCCTGCCCTCAGAGAGCAACCCTTACGTATCCTTTATCCCTGGAGAAGCTTAAGCTTTATAGTTGGGGTGAGTCCACCCCTCGTGATCCTGCTATGGGCCCAGACTGCCGGTGGGATCTCCCATGATGCACTGAGCTCCCCTCTCCTTTCTCTCTCTCCCTCCCAGTGCAGCCTCATTCCATTAATGATGTTACTAACTGGACTCTCTCCCTTTCCTGTAGTCGTGTGCTTTC